TATTTCCGCATTATCTATCTAGCATCCAAGGTTGTGCATTATGTCCAGAGTTTTTGACTACGCAGAAGGTGAGTGGTTGGTTCCATGTCTCCCTGTTCTATGAACAACAATTCTAACAGCTGCCCTAGTCGCAAAGCACAACACAGCAGAGAGTTGCTGGGTTGTTCTTTATGGCAATGTCTACGATGTAACAGACTTCATCCCCGAACACCCTGGTGGCGCGAAAGTCATTTTACAGCTAGCCGGCACCGACGCCACCGAAGAGTACGATCCCATCCATCCTCCTGGTATACTTGAGGAGAACTTGAAGCCAGAGAACAAACTCGGCACCGTCAACCCGGACACGTTACCTTCAACTGAGACGTCTCCGGTTGAGACGGGCGAAGTACAAGTGGAAGGACCCGTTGATCTCGATAGCTTGCTGAACTTGGACGAGATCGAAGAGCTAGCTACCAAACAAATCAACCGCAAAGCATGGGCATACTATTACTCCGCCAGTGACGATTTGGCATCGAAGAGTTTCAACAATCGCGTATACAGACAGATCCTGCTTCGACCGCGGGTGTTTGTCGACTGCGTCAGCTGCGATACATCCACCTCGTTTCTGGGCCATAATGTCAAGCTGCCGATATATGTGTCACCCGCTGCCATGGCTCGATTGGCCCATCCAGATGGCGAGCACGGTATCGCGCAAGCCTGCGAACAGTACGGCGCGATGCACTTAATCTCACAAAATGCCTCCATGACACCGGAACAGATTGTTGCCGATGCGAAACCAGGCCAGGTCTTCGGGTGGCAGCTATATGTTCAGAACGAGAGGGCAAAGAGCGAGGCGATGCTGGAGAGGATAAAGAAATTGCCTGCAGTGAAATTCATTGTTTTGACTCTAGATGCCCCTGTACCTGGCAAACGCGAAGAAGATGAGCGGAATAAGAACATTGGCGCCAAACTTCCCGTGCGCTCCTCTGTCCAGGAAGGTGGATCGACATCGAAAACTAGCACAGATGCGAAGACGCCTGCTAAGCCAATGGGACTTGGCCAGAGTCTATTCTGGGGCACCGCTGCTGACTTGACATGGAAGACTACACTCCCATGGTTGGCAAAACACACAGATCTTCCTATTGTCTTGAAGGGTGTACAGACACATGAAGATGCCTATTTGGCAAGCCTTCATGCTCCGCATATCAAAGCCATCATTCTCTCAAACCATGGTGGGCGTGCACTCGACACAGCGCCCCCGGCTGTCCACACTTTGTTGGAGATTCGGAAGTATTGCCCAGAGGTATTCGACCGGATCGAAGTGTGGGTTGATGGGGGTATCAAGCGGGGTACGGATGTTGTGAAGGCACTTTGCTTGGGGGCGAGGGGTGTGGGAATAGGGCGCGCGGCGCTCTTTGGACTGGGTGCGGGAGGAAAGGAGGGAGTTGCGCGTGTTCTAGAAAGTAAGTTCTCCGTACCATGTTGGATCGAAGGATTAGGCAGATGCGGTTTTTTGGAAGTCGAAACAATGCTGACGAGTTGGCCGCAGTTCTCAAAGCCGAAACCGAGACCTGCATGCGCCTACTTGGCGCACAGAGGATTGAAGATCTTGGCATGCACTATGTAAGTACCTCTCATTACGGTTGTATGAGATATACTCTGGGGTGTAGCCTGACGTTTAACAGATCAACACTCGCGCAGTGGAGCGCGATATCTACGATGGGCCTGCTGGTTTGGAGCGGCCGAGCTTGTGGGCACAGGCGAAGGCGAAGGCAAAGCTGTGAAGCGGCAATACATGGCAGGGAAGAGCTCACGAGGACCTGTACAGCAATTTCAGAATCAGGCTTTGTCCTATTTAATATGCGGAACTATCCAATTCGACAGTCAAACCGTCGTATTATGTTTTCACGACCCGGGAGTCCGGAACCCACCCACTGGCATACTGACAGTAGTAGTGCCGAAATCTACCTTACCGCCTTACATAGCACAGTGGCGTGAAAGCAGGTGGGCCAGTTCTGGACACCTTGTCCATGTAAATGTTTACGACGACGCAGGTGGCTGTTTTGATACACAGTGGTCGCAGTGAAGATGATTCTGGGGGGGGTGAGGTCGCATGCTTATCTGTCGTCGTACAAGGAGGGCTTCTCGGAGGCAGACTGAGTTATCAGGAGACTCCAGGGCTATGGGCTATCACAGCGGTGCCTGCAGACCGGCATAGGATGTGGATGTATGTTTCCACCCAACCACACATCAGCCCTACCACACCACCTCGGCTCCAGAAAAGAAAGCTCAGTACATGCTCTCCTGCAGGCTGCCACGTGTGAGCTTGCCTCCAAGGTTGATAGAGGTTGGAATGACAGCATCCACGGGGGTAGCTGTTGTCCGTAAGCCTCGCAGCCCTTCAGCCGCCGCACCGCCAGTCCCACACATTGCGATGAGCGCGTGCTGCATCTGTTGGCTTTACGCCTCGCGGTCTCAAAGAAGGCCTCATACTGGCGCCCTAAAGAGACGTCGTCAGACAACATGGCTGCCACCGCTAGAGCCTCGCGTGTCGAATTGTCCGGAGCAATCAACGTCCACGTCGTCCCATCTAGCGCCCTTGTCACACCCGATTAGCGAAACCTGGTCGTCTAATGTGGTACACTGCACAGTAATTACATGCTCGTACCTGCCCAGCTAGCACCAAAGCACTCCGACACTCTGCTGCCTTTCTACGTTATGCCCTTTTGTGCCTTCTGCAGATCATGTCAACGTCACCGTGAAGCTACCCTGCACTCCAGGAGCTTGTCCCTGTCAAAAGCTCGCTGCCGTTTCTGCGGGGGGGAGGGGGGGATACAGTATACCCAAGACCCCAGGCATCCGAAGGATGAGGCCAGGCAGACTGTTTCATCTCCAACTCTGTCTTGCTTGCCTTTGCGGAAGTACCTGGCAAGAAAGTTCTAGTGAGAATCTGGGACGCCTACTGAGTACACGCGAACAAATGCTGCTGTGAGCCAGTTGGCGCTCGCACACCGGACCCACTCGCAGACATTGCGAGGCGAGAGCTCATCTCATCATCCTCTGTAGTGCTCCAATGTGCACGCCTCAAGGCTTCAATTGCCAGCCCGCTGCTAATTTCGGTCTTGACTCTGTGCATACCAAGGTACGTAGTCTCCAATTGTCAGGGTTCTTTGTAACGGCCTGTTAGATGGTGCTTTTTCCCGTGGCTGAGCCGCTTCACTATCGTTACGCCCCTAATGGGAGCGGAGGGTGCGTGTGCCAGGCTATATATAAGGGAGGGGTGCAACCTGCTGCCAGGCGCATCTTTGCCAGCAGAACTCCTTGCACATCTATCTCACAATCACCACTCTCGAACAGACAGTTTTATTCTTCGAAACCCATTGCTCCCAACTTTGAACTTTCTCGCTCCATTTTACTCTTCCGACTTATCCGCCGCCCTAGCCAACCTACAATGCAGTGTCCGTCTTGTCACGGAAACGGCACCATCAAGTGCGACAGTTGCGGTGGCTCAAGCAAAAACTGCAACGACTGCAAAAAGGGACAGCAAGTTTGCAATGTCTGCGAAGGAGCCGGAGCCATCCACGCCGATTCCTGAGCGCACTCGTTCGAGGCACTGCCTCGAACCTCGACATGTGCACCTCCGTCCGCAAATGGAGTTCCTACTATCACGGCCTAAAACGGGACACCAGGAGATACGAACTAGCCAGGGCCAGGATACCCCCAAGTACGTTTACTGTATTCCCCTCGTACCATTTTGCGTCTTGGCCCTATTGTCGAAACTCTATGCACAAGTTTCAATGGCCATTCTTCTCTAGTCGCTGGTCAAAAAAATTGGTCGCTGCAGGTTTCCTCTCGCGTTTGCAAGGATGCTGAGCTAGATTTCCAGACTTGGATTCGCTGACGTAGCACCCTAGGTCGATATCATGATCTGTTTCATAACTCCCCTCCAATATCATCCGAGACGCGCGCCAACGACGCTGGGACACTTGAGTGATCGCTGGACCCAAGAACGTGGAAGGAAGGTGTGTTTTACAGCAGCGCAAATGCGCCAGTCACGTGTTGCTGTGTTATTTCCCAAGTGGGACAATTTCCGACATGTCGCCGTGTGAAACGTTCCAGGAGATGCGACTCCGATGACTGGTCATTGGTCGATTACCTTTCGTTTCATTGCGCCATTTGGGATTCACTGGGTTTGAGGGGGACGGGGGGGGGCAAGACTTCATTTCTTCTCTTACATTATGCTTTTTCGGTTTAGTGGCTTGATCGCCAGTGACGTGGTTAGCGGCCAGCCTGGAGTTGATTGCATCAGCTTGATGGAGCTTTGGCCTTTACGACTTTTGTGTTCCTTGATTTCTTTTTTTTATGTCTCCTTCGCGCTCAGATATCCCTGGTCGTTTTTTGCTTAGTTATGGCGATGTTACACTGAGGAGGGGAGGATCTCTGACTCTAGCGTGGAGTTTGTGGCTGTGCTATCATGTATCATTTACCTAGGTATACCTTTCTGATTTGTTTCTCGCCGAGGTTCCTCTTTAGTTCGCAACCGAATACGATGCATGTGTCGTATTCCAAAGATAGCAATGCATCTTCTAGTATCGATCCACTTTTCCAGAATCCTTTCCCAATACCCACGAGTACGCATTCACTCCCAAGGCCTACCAAAAAGAGCGCAAAGGCCCTTGGGACTAGTTGACGTTTCAGACTACACGAGGAAAGGAGAACAGTGGCGTTCTGACTACGGACTAAAACGGTCCCGACGTCGCCGTTGACAAACGAGCGGTTTTCCAGAAAGAAAAATCCTTCCATGGAGTGCTATTGTACTAGTCTGTCCCCACCGCGAGTCAATGGTATGGTACATACAAAAACAGGTGTAGCGGCATCGGTAAATTATAAGTCTTGATCTATGCCCACAGAACATTGAAAATTGTATCTTTCTCCACCTCTCGTCGTATCTTTTCACACTGTTACGTTGAAGCTCCTTGAAACGCCTCTCCCCGGTCAAAAAAAAGACAGCTTTAATGGCGTACCAACGCCGGGATTCGAACTGGGAGTTCGTTAGTTAATATGTCTTCGAGTTTGGGTATTCAGGTCAGGCTTACCCCGGGCCGTCTGGGATTTTTCAGTCGATGAATGAAAACCAGAAATCCTAACCTCTGGACCACGCTGGTGGAAACAACGAATTCGATAAGGGCATGAACATTTAGTTAGTATACATCTAACTATGTGGAAGGGGGTGCAAAATTAGAGGTGGGGGGGGGGGGGGGGTGAATGGGCGGTGACGATGCGAGATCGCGGTGTTTGTGCTGTGGGGGACGATGAAGCAAGCTAGAATTGGGAATCCACAATCAATGTTCTTTAGGGAAGGGGTATCGTAATTTGCATGGGCAGCGTCATCCTTATTGAGCAAGATCCCCAGACACGCGGTGGGTCTTTCCACGATGTTTGCACACTTCGCGGTTAGACGACGTCCAGACCTTTTCAAACATTCATAACTATGCATGGTCGTTGAATCGATCCTCCACGCCGTAATGCCATCATCAGCCGGAGGGAAGAGTCATCGGGAGTCAATTTAATCTGATTTAGGGTATACATATGAATAGAACATTGATCTAGAACTATTATAAAAACTTGGTGCATCAACAGTCTCGAAGGTTTACGACACTTGTTACGAATATGGTGAAAAGAAAACTCTGTTCGTTTTTGGGATGATTTACTCAAGGGCGTTTGCCCCAGTTCTCTTTCGCCGTCATACACGAACACACATAAGATGAGAAGTACTTAAAATAACACAACCCTGGAAAAAACTGTCGTAACAGCAAGTGACCAAGAGCTTTTTTCCCCGAATACTTACTAAAAAGTATTGGCCATTCAGTTCTTATACCCAATAGTCTACTTTTCTATCAGCAATTACACTCTTTGTTATTCGGAACAACCGAGGGTACCACTACCGGAGGAGCCTGGACCACTGTAGTGCTCTGAACCAGAGTACTCAACTGAGATGTCTGCTGCACAGCCGGAGCCTCAGCCACCACACCACTCACCGGATCCGCATACGACGCATCAAGCGGGCGTGGACCAGGCATCTTCCACTGGTTCCTGTCTGGACCTTTAAGATCGAACAGGGCCAGCCCTATATCCAGACCCCCTCTAAACGCAACATTACCAATTTCGTACAGTTTCGAAGCCGGGTACGCGTCAAGGGTTGCTGGTGTACTGCTCCCACCCGTGACTTCAACGTTCAGACACCAGGGATAGTATTCCGGTGGTGTTTTCCCGAGATCGTGGATAGCGATCCATTCTTGACGCATGATGTATTTTCCAGCCGGGAGATTTGCGGGGATCTTAGTCGAGACAATACCGTTCAATTTATAAGCATACACGCTCGTTGCCCATTCACCCGCAGCATCGCCCCTATAATGATTCGCCTTGAAGAACTTCAAGTTCTCGGCTTTGGCGGATTTGAAGTCGCCACCGTCTAATTTTGCCATGTAGGTCAGTAGGACTCCGGGGTGGAAAACTCTGAGTAGTTCCCATTGGATCTTGATGGAGCCCCCTGCTGCGACTGTGACACTCCCGGATCCAGGACTGGCAAGGGTATCTGGGGGCTGGTCTGGGCCGGTTTTACCTGGGCCGCAGACGAACTGAAAAGAAGTCATATTTGCTTCGAGAACCGGAGCGCTTTCATCGGTGTTCTCGTTCCGGCCTCGCCATACTGAACTGAATTTATTCTCCCCAGCAGCATCTTTGACGTCTATTATCTTGAAGTGTGCTAAAGCGTGGGTCGCGAGAAGGGTAACGGCGATGGCAGTTCTTATAAAATTAACCATGGTGAAGAAGACAAAATTGTGGCTGGAGGTGAAGAGGTTGTTTGAGGTTGAGGAATAACAGTGAGACCTCAGTCAATGAAGCCACGAGAAGATATGACAGGCAATATACACAGAAAGAACGACTGGGTTGTGCAATGAGAAGAAATTTGATAAAGGCGAAGGCGTGCGATCTGGCACCACGAGCTTATATACGGTAGTGATACTTCGTGTGCTTCCAAAGGGCCCGAATGGTCCACATATATTGAGGACAGTTGTCTCGGAGATAATATGGATGCGGCATAGAGTGAAATCCGCCATTGTATGAGCTGACTTGATCCAGCACATGGTTCTACGTCTAGTCAGTTTAATCAAAATGAATTAGAATCTTATCTGCACTTCTTGTATTCTTGTCGAACGTTACAGTCTACCGGGTATGACATCTATTCACACTCTCGATGGTTGTTACACCAAAATTAATAAAGACCCTCTTCCAAGGAGAAGATACCACAAAAGGCGGATTTGAGATATGTGAGTGGCGTTTCCTACTGGCCACATTGTTTCTTCTATTCACACAGTGGCACAGGAAGTTCTTTCGCGCCCAGAACACTGCAACGCCGTTTGCCACAAGCTTGCCGCTTAGACATAGCGGCACGGATTTCAGTAGGATGCTCCGAAACACACTCTGTCTTCGAACAGTGTTCTTGTGTGCTCAAATTGATTATGATTCGATTCGATCAGAATGAGCTTCGGAAACTAATTTGAGATGATCGTATTTTGGATTTTTGGGGCGCGCAGAGGACAAGTTGGAGGATGGTGGAGGGTGCCTGCGATATCGATACGTTGACTTAGACTGAGAGACAGCGAAGCGACAAATCATTTCTAGTGTTCACATGTGTATGATGGTGTGTGGCAGTGTTGATAAAGTTGTTGAGGACACCATCCCTCGATATAGCTAGCGGTGTTTAGTGGTCCATATGGCCATAACTCCCATACAAGGGTGGGCTATCTTCGAGTCTTCTATTTTTCAGACATGATAATCCGAAGTTTCACACCGGTCATCTTAGAGCCATAAACTGGTCATTTTTCTACCTTTAACAACGTGTTAGAGCAGATGGATACGGTGCAGTCGGCATAGTGGCACATACTCTCCAGTGTCAGCATCTCCGCCTGGCTTCGAGGCGTTGTTGCGCTAAATACTATGTCCATGGATGAAAACGTAAGATTTGATTTTGTGGATATAGAACTCCTTGTCAAAATGCCTTCTCAACTCCCGTGTCGCCCGTCTCCCAAAATTCGGATAAGCGACATACACATTTGTGAAATATGATATCGCAGATGTGGTTAGGATTACAACCGCTAAGGGTAATTCACACTGCTAGAAGACTGCAACATCCACAAAGGCGAATGCGACACCTTGTCGAAGTGTTCGTCCCCAACCCGTCTCGTATCATATGATATCGTTTCATTCTCAACAATAGATCTTCGGGCCCTTCATAATTCCCTGCTGATTCACCATGGCGTAGCGCTAAGCCGGCTCTCGCCCAGTCGCGGGTCCGCTTCTTCTTCGTCTGCTACTTGAGCTTCGTGAACCTCCTCATGCTCAACTTTGAGAAACTTCCTCGCCATCATTTTCTGTTCCACTGTTCTCCTCGCTGTCACCATCTTCTTCCTCTTGTGAAGCACCGCCGACCGTCAAACCTTGTTCGCCGACATCCGTACACTCCACCACACTCCCAGTAACAACACGAGCCATTGCAGACCTAGCAGGTCTACGTCGTAGTGCCCGAGTTGCCCGAGACGAAAAACCCTGCTTTGTATTCACTACTATGTCCACTTCTCCCCTGTATGACTGCAGCTCCTTGAGACATCCAGACACCAGCGGTCGGGTGAGCTTCTGCAGCACAATTGGCCAGGCAAACACCATAACCCGATCTGCAAGCCATCTCAACTCTTGCTCAGTGAGAACCCTCGAAAAGATCAGATAATCTGGGGCAATTTTGCGAAGCTCGGTTCGGATAGTGAGGGTCCAGAATTCGTAGGAAGCTAACACTCTCGAGCTCGAGCCATGGATGTTGATGGTGGTGGGGATGGATAGATCCATGAAGTGGGTTCCAAGTCGTATGTTAATGTTTTGTCTCCTGGGCCACGAGATATTAGTGAAGAGATGGCCTTGGTCGCTGTCGCCGCTGTCTTCTTGCAAAGCGCCGGCAGAGATTTGTGAGAAACGCCGCTTACTTGTTGGTGGTGTTTGCTTCGTGGAAACAGCACTCTCGGAGAGCATGGACGTCGCTGCTGTAGGAGATGTTTGCCCCAAGGCGTTGACTTGACTCGAGGTTGTCATTTTTCCTGGAGCTCCCAAATTGACCGATTACGACACGGATTGCGGAGAGCGTGCTTGAGAGCTCGTATGTAGGTAGAAGGTTAATCGGCCGATGTTATAGTGGACGCCTAGTACTGGAAGTGGAGCTATCTCTGGTGAGCGGGCAGATGACATGAGAGTGTTGACTGGTTACTCGAGAGGGAGGAGCACTCGATGTTGGGTCTAGCAATCTGATATCGTCCACAGTCGGTCAACAAGCAGCTTATTACCACAAACATGTGACAAATCCTGTGATTAAATACCCAGGTAATAACGGCTGCAATCTTAGGGTATAAGAGACGTATTTTTATACAAGTTTGAACGACATGGACGGAACACAAGAGTATATAAAGTTTACAACTACATAAATAGCCGTGCCAAGATCATCAACGCAATATTAGGGATGATCTGAGATATGTTTACTGAATGGAGTGTCATAACCAAAGACTTCTGTCTTCCAACAAAGTTAGTAATGAGTGGTTACAGGTCGACGATTTTGAGAACACAAATGTGTATTTATTACCCCATCATCAAAATAATTAGATCTAGAAGTTCCACTGTTAGTGGTAAATTAATCCGAGGCATAACGGTCATCATCGGTCATGAGGTCATCTGCTTCAGCATTCACGGGAGAGTCATAGAAAGAACTTGGGAATATGAATCAATTAAACCAGTTATTATGTACATAGAATTCATGGCAGAGAGAAACGATATGGAGAATGATGCAGCTCTGGGTATAAGCTAATATATCCACTGACTGTTGTAGCGAATGATTCCAAGCACACGAAGATTCAAACAAAAGTTTCTCTTCAAGATGCGGTAAATATGAAATCTCAAGAGAGAGAATGTGACTTGCCCTCCTTTGCGACTTTTGCAAAGAAGTCTCCAATAATGACACTGCGAGCCCCAAAAACTTTTCCTTCAAGGCTTGCGCTACGACATTGTGAGTAAAGTTCAGGAGTAAAACCAAAGAGTGTTGTAGGGAACCTGCATTGCGTTCTTG